ACTCTTAGCTCCAATTGATTAACGGTTTTTAAAGGTACGTCTCTCTTAGCCTGCAATTGATTAACGGTTTTAAATATATGTCACTCTTAGCTGCAATTGATTAACGGTTTTTAAAAAAATATCTCACTCTTAGGTGTAATTGTCAGTGGTGCGAGACTAAGAACGCGTGTTTTCTTATTGGAAGAACTGTCCTATTCAAATAAATGGTTTTAATTCCAAACTGAGTAGGCTGGCAATAAACTACAAAAATTAAAAAGTATAAGCGTTATGGTTATTTTCAAACACTCGTTACCCACCTACAAATCTCCATAGATATAGACGAACGTTTTGATTTATTGACAGGACAGAGTAAGATACCAGGAAGCCGCAAAAGTAAGTCACGTGCTCTTATTACGTATCATCTATCGCTAATAAGACTAATAACAGAAAATAGTTGTTCGGTTCGCTGCTCCGCGGGTGTACTCGGGTGAAATCTTGCACTCAGTGAAGTTACAGTGTTTAGTCACATGTATAAGGATTTGCCGGAATAAAACGCCCTGCCTACACATAAGATTTATTAACTTGCAAGGATCGATCTGTCCTCTGTGGCCCTTATTGCTTAAGGATAATAGTAGTCATCATACTAGTGGGTCAATCTCGAATGAATCATCTCACCCCCCCCCCCTCCCATCGCCAGCCTCTGCCCCTTTCCCAACAGAGCACGTGATCTTGGCTGTACGTGTAAGAACTATTAAGGTGAGGTAGTAGTGAAGCAGGTCTCATTATACATATGGAGAACAAATGGGACAGTTAACGTTCGCTACCTCAAATAACTTTAGTTACGACTCTTTCAGACGTAGATCTTTGTTGTGCTTAAGACGTAATTTACGGTCTGACGTTCCGTAATTGTCTCAAGCGTCATTTTAAATTTAACTTTAATGCAAAGGAACAGATCTCTCCACGACGACTGTGTCGGAGTAAAATGAGAAGGAGGAACGTTATTATGCGGAAATAAGAGTCCGGTCTCTGAGGAACACAATTCAACAGTTTTTGTTTTGTTTTGTTTTGTTGTTTTATGGAACAATCAAATAGTTTACATCTCCCTAGCAGGCTATCAGGCTTATTTTTTTTTTTAGACTGTAATGTTGTATAGAGTTAATAGCTTGGAAAACATAGTCTATCTTCACTGTTTTTATCACTGAAGTCATTTCGTGTTCAGTAGTGTGCCAGAATGAGGTCAACGGAATACGAAACACAAAAAAACGCGTATCTTTAGAAATTCACTGAAATTTAATTCGTAGATAGACACATAGAAAAACGTTCAATATTATGTTCTGTTCAACATTCATTTAAAATCAGTGTTTGAAGACATCTTTCTGGATATGCTAAATTCGTAACCTTTAAAAACCACGATCAACATATGCCAAGATGTATTAAAAAAACAAACACACACACACACACAACAGGATCGAGTCTGCTTGAATTACGTAAAGGGTTTAATCCCTTCCAAAGCACAAGTTTCCAGTCGGTTAAAATGTTGTTTTGAAAAATGAGAAAACAAAAAACATTTCTCGGGCACGTACTATCCTACTGTCACGATAAGCTTGTTGAATAGTCAAAATACTTTGCTTTACTTTTATAGTTTAAACTTTAATATCTTATTTAATGAAAATATGTTAATTAATCTTACATACTATATCACAGATAATAATAATAAATTGGACAAGATTTACTGAGTTGCATAAACCAGTAATACTATTTATTACATTTGTTTCTTGCGAAGCACAAAATTACACGATGGGCTATCTGTGCTCTGCCCGCAGCAGGTATCGAAATCCGATTTTTAGCGTTATAAACCCATTGGCTATTTATTAACCCTACAAGATAAAAACAAACAGGTTTTTGTTTTTTCCTCTTCTATATATATATTCGTTAAAACTTAATGATTAATCACGTAAGTAAAAAAAATAAATAGAATATTTTTGTAAGTAAAATTGTCGGTATTTATGGGCCAGTAAAAAGATTAGAAGACGCCGTGTATCATCTAGATTAACTCCCAGTTTTCGTTAGTCCCTCAATGGCCCATAACGATAAAATATGGTGTTCGATCCCAGAAGTTGGCATGATAGCCCTTTCTGAGACTTATAGTTTAAACCGCTGGCTCAACTGAGAGCTTTATGGCTTATAAATACTCTAAAATCCGGTGTTCCATCCTTGCTGCAGTTACAATGTAGATAGCCCATTGGGCAGCTTTGAGTTTAAACCAAAAATGTTTTGATTAGCACGTGTAATTTAGTCCGGCGTTATGGCAAAAGTTTTATCCAGCGGTCTTTTTTTTTCGTCTTCCATAATTTACTTTATACTTCGGAACTGATATTCCTCAGCTGAGATACCTAAAAATTAGATTTTAATAGTTTAGGGTTAACACCTTGGAATTCACCGATGACAGTTGAAGCCACCTTAAACTTTAAAAAAAATCATCAAAGTCAGTTTGTTTTTTTTCCGTGTAGGTATAAAAAAATCGTCTCTGTAAGGTTAAAAAAAAACACTAAAAATTCTATGTGACCAATATATTCCAACTAGAAATGTCCCAAGATTAAATTTGGAGCTAAACAATTTTGTTTGTAGTTAAGCACAAAACTACACAATAGGCTATGCTATACCCCCCTCCACGGGTATCGAAACCCAGTTTTCAGCGTTAAGAGTCCGCAGATTTACCAATGTGCCACCGGGGGGGGGGGGGAGGTACCAATTAACTAAATCCTTTAATTGGAAACGGACTGGTAGTGTCGGGTTACAAATTGGCACAGATAAGACAGTAGTATAAACAATAATAACGATGACGTAAATATTTTCAATTCACACGATTTAATTACTCATTATTCATTCGTAATGGTTTTGAATTTGTAGACAGATGAATATTTCTTGATAAAGAAGATTTTAATATACTTTTTGTATTTATAATGTAAATATTTCGAATAGAACCGGTTGCTGTAAATACAAGACTAGTTGCTGTAAATACAATACTAGTTGCTGTAAATAAAAGACTAGTTGCTTTAAATACAGAACTAGTTGCTGTAAATACAAGACTAGTTGTTTTAAATACAAGACTAGTGGCTGTAAATACAAGACTAGTTGTTTTAAATACAAGACTAGTTGCTGTAAATACAAGACTAGTGGCTGTAAATACAAGACTAGTTGTTTTAAATACAAGACTAGTTGTTTTAAATACAAGACTAGTGGCTGTAAATACAAGACTAGTTGTTTTAAATACAAGACTAGTTGCTGTAAATACAAGACTAGTGGCTGTAAATACAA